CCTTATATGAAAGATTTAGTTGGATCATTTTGAATAGGCAGATTTGCGGTGACCTTCTTCGACTGACAGAACCACTTTTGCGCGTGTGAAGAACGGATCTTGCTGCCGGTACGGATTTGGCACTGACAACGTTAACTGTGATATTAGCAGGGATGCTAACTTTGTCTAGCGACAAACAGGCTTAAAACAAAATGTACTTACCAGAAAAATGAGCTGCCGACTCCTGATAAGCTTTTTCCGCGGCGCTGGTTAAATGTACACAGAGCAGCAGAGACGAGTCACCTCTATCTTGATTGAAAGCTTGTAGCTCCGCCCTAAAGGCTCCACTGCTTTCTGGTCTATGTTCCTCTAAATGGGACCATAATTTACATGTATTCATTTAGCTGGCGCTTTTATCCAAAGTGACTTACAAAATATGTCAGAGGTCACACGCCTCTGTAGAAACTTGGGGTTAAGTGCTCAGGGACACAATGGTGGATGTGTCACAGTGGGGAATTGAACCCGGGTCTCTCACACTGCTCCATCACCACCCCTAATTTACTAAATGAACATCATGCTGTGTTGAAGAAGACTTGAAACTAGCGACTGAGACCATAAACTCATCAGGAAAGTGTTTACTGAGGGAATAAATCAGCTGACAAGTAGAAACATTTTCTCACAGACTTCTATACAATCACACTTCTTCCTGCAGCCGCTGGAGTCGCCCCCTGCTGGCTGCTGGAGAGGACGCAGGTTTAAGGCTCTGCAGCACTGGCTTCCCTGGTCAGATCCGGATGCTGGCATTTGAACGTCAGCAACGTGTTTAGTCGAGGAGCTCCAATTTGTCAACACAAGTGTGGCCCTTTAAAAGGGTCCTTACATGTCACAAACTATACTGTGGATGCTGCGTGAACAATATTAACACTTACTGAACTGTGGCCTATGCAGATATGAGTGTAGTTTTGACCTGGAGCACAAGAAGGGGACACTTTCATTGTCTAATAACACTGGACAGCTTTTACACTCATGCTTGAAATTTGTTTGGAAGTCCTTGAGGGTAAAAAACTGCCAGAGAGAAATAGACCTGTGGCTGCGAACAGTCTCACCCTCCCAAAAAGCCAAGAAGAACAATTACCCAGGCATGGAGGACATGGAGAGAGAGTGTGTGTGGTCCCTTCAGTCGCCAGGCGATGTGGTGGGGAAGCTGTCAGCCGGCTGGACGGCGGCTGAATCCCGGTGAGCGGAGCAGGAGGAGGAGGAGGGGCGAGGCATTCTTCAGCGCTGACACTCTCATTGAGACTCGAGGGCAGCCGTGAAATAAAAGCAGCGAGGAGGCTGAAAGAAAGAAAAAGGCGGCTCCGGTAGTTTATTTTGTCGAGACAAAACGCAAGTCCCACTTGTGGAAAAAAGTGATTGAACCGTGCTTTGTGTGGAGCTGAATGGCTGTGAGCAAATACGGCTGGAAGTGCACTGTTAGTTTTACCGATTTTAACTGTGGAAAGTTTGGACAGAATAAAAAAAAAGAAACTTCTCACTGCCGACCAGATGAGAGCAGAGAGGCGAGCGAGACAACTTCCCAACAACACTTCCTTACTGACACACAGACGGACCAGCTTCCATTTAAAACGAAATAATAGTTCTTTTCATAAATCCCCATTCACAAGTGGAAGAGGAGGAGAAATTCTATGTCAATAACTGATTCACTGTAATTGTTGTGCAAATGTCAAAGAATTTGAACACATCTAACATGCACTTCCTGTGCTCTCCTTCTTCTGACTCCTTATAATTCACTTTTAAGGAGAGAGTGGATTGGCCAACGGGAATTTCGCGAACAATCCCGAACGGCCGGTCTATCTCAGGCCAAACCGGCCGGTGTTCGAGAGTTTTTATTTGTCAGTTTCTTATTTTCAACTTTAAAAGATCTGCTACCACGCCGGCCGGCCAGCTGCAGCGAACGCTGTCCGTTTCTGTCAGACCGGCCAAACTAATACTTTCAACGTAGAGGGCAGATACGAGCGGCCCCTCCCAACTTGGAACGATCCTCGTTTTTGCTGAATTCTGATTGGCTCAACGGCGCCGATCAAAGGAGTTTACTTTCCATCTGGGACGAGTTTAATCTCAGTACTTTTTGTCGGGGCCCAGGGTCGTGTGATAAGCGCAACAGAGCAGGTACATATGTCCATAAGAAAGAAGTGGCGCCAAAAAAATAAAATAAGAAAAATAAGAAAATGTCGGCACAAGAGGCAGCTAAATGCGACCTCTTCGTTGGTGGAAAGGTGCTGTGGCAGACCCAGCACAGGCACAGATAAGTAATGCATTTATTATAACCTGAGATTATTTATACGGCTGGATTATATTATAAACAACAGTTGAAAGAAGAGGAGGAGCTGCAGGAGAAGGAGGAGGAGGACAATGGAACCAGAAACAGTGGCAGGTACAGGGCCTGTGCAGGGCTGGGTCGGCAATCATCCATAGATAGAATTAGAGAATGGATTATTATTAGTTATATTTATTACTGATGTTCTTCTCATGCATATGTAGCTGTATAATCAGCACAAGCAGAGTCGGGGTCCAGCACAGGGGAGCTGAGCCAGGGAGAGGCCAACCCAGAGCTGAAGCTGCTCTACTTTATGAGACTGCATTGTAGATTTTGATTATTTTAACCTATTTTAGCGTTCTGACTGACTCAGGCTGCCTGACCTGGTCTTCCTCAGTGCAGTGGTGCCAAATACAAACTTAACAGGCAGGTGTCATAAAAAGTTTCTTGAAGGTCTTCGTCATAATGAAATTACAACACTATTTATTAAAATAACTGCAGAAAATCTTTCTCTGCGCCCCCACACAGCGCTCACATAAAAGGCGTCTCTGTCTCAAAGTCCCGGGCTGAATTTCAGTCCCCAGTACATCCCTGAGTTGCACTATTATTTATTTATTCTTACTTCTTCCCCTAGGTATTTACCAGCACGTCTCATGAGACGTGGAAGTAAAGTTGAACACAAAAGAAGCTTATTAATGTAACTAAACAACATGTGTGGAAATATAAAAGGTATATTTTATTGTTTTTGGTTTATTTTCTGCGTTGCTCTCCTACTTCTCCTTCTTTTTATCCTCCTCTTACCAAGATGCCAGGGATGGCTGTCGTGGAAATCTGTTTCCTGGTGAGGGGTTGAGCAAATAATTGAGTTACAACAAACTGTAAGAATTTAACAAAATAGAATAAACAAAGAAGTACTACAACACAAATCAGCTGCACCAAAGGTTCTGTCTCCAAAGACAGTCACTAACGTCTGGCCCAGAGCAAAGGGCTGCATGATCATTTACACAGCCTGGGTTTCTATGTTTTGGGGAACAAAAGATCCTCTTCCAGCCTTGACTGGTCTCAGCCCAAACAGCAGAGGAACAGAAAACAACTCCACTTCCCTGTCCTAAACCCTACACATGTGGACAGACTAGAATGATGAGAATAATAATAAAAGGAACAGGTTAAAGATTAAAACAATGTATAAGACATAATAATAGAAAAACAGCACTCTTATAAGTACTTACATAAATGACTTTAAGTATAAGAAGAAAACTATTTTCTGCCGTCACAATGGCCACATCATGCTACCTCCTCTTTCTTCTGTGGTTTCTGGCAATAAAAGAAAAAAACAACATATAAAACAATTGTAATTGGTTAAGTGCAGTAAAGTTCACTTTAAATTGACTCCACCACCACACATAAAACATGGCTTAATAATAATCAAAGTCTCAGTTTTTAGCTTAGCCTATGGTATTTTACACAGCATAAATTAGCCTAGCGGCTAGCGTACTTTTCCTCTCCTCATAGCTTAACAAATAACATGTATTACTTATACTGTGTCTTACTCACCACTGGTAAAGTCACTGCCTCTCCCGATACAACACCACGGTTCAATTTTCAGCCTGAACGTACGTTTTAAAACAGCACCTGCTCGTAGTGAGAGCAACAAACAAAAACAATCACAGCTAACTAACAGTGTTGTAGAAAGTGTGAGAAAAATCCCCTGCCTTTCCGGGCTTGGTCGTAGATATCTTTCTGTGTTGATGCTTTATTGATGTTTGTAAGTTGTTCCTCAAATGTAAGTCGCTTTGGATAAAAGCATCTACCAGCATCTGTCCTGTTAGCTAAAACAGGACAGACGCTGGCAAACAACTTTAGGTGAAAATAAGCCAAGCCGCTAAAATGCACTGTTAGCGAAATGTTAGCGAACCTGAACTAAAGTCTTTTTTAAGCGGCTAACACAAACCAAACTATTTAATCTGCTACACTAAGCTGCTAACTGTGTTAGCTCTTTAATTCAAAGGCCAGCTAACATGCAGCTAAAGATTAACTAAAGTAGAGTGACCGTATGCTTTCTTTTTCCTGAACATATCCTCTTTTGGGACCTGAGAAATGCATCCAGCTGGGATTTCTAAATCGCCCAACATGTCCAAGATTTGCTTCTGTCCACTGCTTGTGTGGCTCTACACAAGGTGACAGATAGCTAAACAGATGTCTTAGATACTGATAGGGTTAAATGATGAGTGAGACGTGGAAGTAAAGTTGAACACAAAAGAAGCTAAATGTAACTAAAAACACAGAAGAATTGTACATGATGAAATTAAACAGACAGCTGCCCTCCACATGGTAAAAAGATGATGTAATTATCTATAAATCTCACCAAATGTTGCACATATGCACTTATTTATAAAAACAAAACACTAAATTTAACTCACAATCAAAGCTTCTCCAGGGTTCAATACAGGTGGATGCCGAAGATTAAACAAAGATGTCCTGAAGCACCTTATTTTCCCAAACTAACTGCAAAATGGCTGGTCTGAACTATGACCCTACCCATGTGATCACAATTAACCAATACAGCAATGACATTCAGCTGACAGCTGTCTTAAAGTAACCACTAGGAGGTGCTAGTTGCCTATAATCTCAATGTCACCATTGGTTGGTCATGTAGGCCTTCACGTCCTTCATGCAAACGTTGGTCTAAAGCCGTGTGAGGCGGGTCTCCCCAAGGGGGGCTCCAAACTGTTTCAGGGGTGATAAGTGAAACAATATCACATTCCTTATTGCATTAGTTATCAAAAGGAGATCACATAGAATAGCCTACATGCATGAGAGTTCAGAGACACAGTAGTTGTTGGGACCCGGTTTCCTCCCATCAGAGTCAGAAACTAATAAATGGCTTAGGACAGAACTTTTTAAAAACTATTTGGTGCAGTCAGAAGTTATGTCAAACAGCAATATTAGGCTGTTTTGGCTCAAATGCTGAGTGTCTACGGGATAAAATAATATAATCATGATCCCATAGGTATCCAGGAATTGAGCGAAACTTAGAAGATGTGGTGGGGGAGGGGCTTGGGGTTTCCCAAGCTTTGACTGAGGGGAGGCCCGTAGTCTCAGACTTTAAAAAGCCCTGGTCTAAACTCTGTCTCAACCATCACCTCAGCACCATAGCAGCAGCCAAGAGACAGAGCAGCAGCTTGCTTGTCAACAGTGACACACGGCGCCTGATGTGGGCCGGTACTTATTCATTTAACTTGTTGGCACATCCGGACCTTTTCTTGCGTACCGGCACTTCTCACAAGCTGCCGGTACTCTTTTCTGCCCTCAGTTGAGACCATGAGAACCTGACAGCATGAGGACAGGACATTTGAGACGGTGTCTATTCACAACAGATTAACAGAGTTTTAGTTGGATACAGTGATCACAGCTGTGTGTTGTTATCTGTCCTTTCATCCTGTGAGACTTTCCTGATACTTTATCATGGTAATGCACCTTTAAGAGATCTGATTAGGGGTTTACATGAACACAGAAAACAGGTTTCTCCATCAGATATCCAGCTGTGCTAACAGGTTTATTCTTAAAACTGGAGAGAGGAAGGAAAGCAGGAAGGAGGGACGAAAGGTAAGGAATTTACTGGGGGTGAGCGAATACACCATATCTGTATCTGATCAACTAACAACCCTATATATATTTCTGTACTCATTACACAGGAAGTAGGTGGGACTACCCTGAATTTGTTCATTTAAGTCTGAAATTTATGTGCGTTGATCAGAAGTTGATGTATTTATTCGAAAATGATTTACACAACAGCCTCAGAATTGAACTTCAGAGCAACATTTCTCATCACAAGAATAAGAGAACTATCTACAGAGCATATTTACAGAGGACAGATATTATTATACTCGTATAAAGTACCTGTACTGGATACTCGTTTCAGCCGAGTACAAATACATGTGTATAAAAATACATGTTAGTCAGCAACTTAGTGCCCGGTGCTGAAATTGTACTGTTTGTAGACCGTGCTTGAAGTGGAAATAATAGGCGCCAGTACTCCCAGGTGACATTGGCTAGCACTGCTCCATCGTGGCACCACAGTCCAATATGATGATTTTGCTTCAATCTGTCAATTTTAAGATGTTATTTTGCAACTATTATTACCATAATTTTATAAAAATGTACAAAAAAATCTTCAATATATATATATATATATATATATATATAAAATTATTATTTGTCAATTTTACACAGAGACCGTCAACCGCAGATCGTGTACACATTTCTCCTTGTTAGCACTTTCCAAGTTAAAGTTACACTGGTCTTTTTTAAAGTCTTTTATTGAATCTTTTATCATTGGAAAGCTTGTTTTCTAGAGCACGATGTTAGCTAGTCTATATCATATATCTATAAGAGATCTGTTCATGTGACAAACAGTCATTTTTATACTGAGTGTGTTTCTAATGCGTTATCTAATCTTACAGCCGTTTCGCAAAAGGACGTTTCCTGTAAGTCATTTTCCTCGCCCTAATAATAACTATAATTTCACACTCTGTTTTAGAGGTCTCTTTTATGTTTTTTTATGTTATGTTTATCTGTAAATATGTGGAAATTAAAAAGAGTCCCACACAAACGTGACTGCAGATCTACCTCGTGCCCGTTG